TATGCCAATACATATGTGCCCAGGACAAGACCTGTCTCTTATACACATCTAGATGTGTACATTTTTTAAGAGATAACCACTGTGACCTTTAACCTCAACCTGTGAACACCCCATGTTCTAATGCAACTGGTCCAATCGTTAGTCACTAGCAATATTTGATAATTTTCACTATAGTGACCCTAGTGTATTTTTACCTATAGATGAAGAGTAGTTTTTCATATTTAGAAGGCCCTAATGATCATTCCTGGTAAATTCGAGCTCAGTTGGGCTATTTTGAAAATTTGCCCCGATGACCCCTATGTAACCACTAATGACAGACAGGGGTGTAGGAGGTACGTGTCACTGGTTCTTAATGATCAACTTTGATTGAATTTGGTTTATTTGTTTGGCATTAGTAACATTTTGAACCTTTGACCTATGCACTTTGACATATGGGGTGAGGAGTACTTTTTCGTGTTTAGAAGGTCCTAAGGGTCATTCCTGGTAAATTTGAGCTCAATTGGGCTATTTTGAAAATTTAACCCCGATGACCCCTATGTGACCCCTGATCCCAAACTGGGGTGTAGGAGGTGTCACCGGTTCTTAATGACGAAATGTTATTGAATTTATTTCAATGGTTTGCCATTAGTAGCATTTTTAAATGTTACTATAGAGAACAAAAGAATAATCCTTTTATGACCTTTGACCGTAAATCGCTGAACACCATAACGACCCTACCTTATGCCAATACTTATATGCCCGGGACAAGACTGTGCTATGTTATTTGTGACAGAAGAAGTCTTTTATTTATTTTTTTGAAAGTTTTTTGACCCTAATGACCCCTTAATGACCTTTGACCCCAAGCAGTGAACACCCCATGTATGAGAGGTGTCACCGATTATACTGACCAGGTTTGGTTGAAATCGGCACAACCTTTTGGCACTAGTAGCGTTTTGAAATGTTGCCAGAAAAAAGATGAAAATTACCCCTTAATGACCTTTGACCCATTATCCCTGAACACCCTATAGACCCTGCCTTATGCCAATGTATATGTGCAAAGGACAAGACTGTGCTACGTTATTTGTGAGACAAGTAGTCTTTTATACGATTTTTGGTTTTTTGACACATAAATGGGAGGTGGCGCCGAGTTTTAATTAAATCGGTCCATTAGTTTGCCACTAGTAGCCTTTTAAAATGTTGCCAGAAAGAAAGAAAGAAAGAAAGAAAGAAAGAAGAAACTGCTAGGAAACAGAACCCAGTCAGCTGCTGCTGACTGGGTAAGAAAGAAAGAAAATACTGCTAGAAAACAGCATGCTGCTGACTGGGTAACAATTGTATTATGTTATACTCCAGTCATCTACCATATTAAATGGCTCGACTTTAAACGGGGCCTCTTTCCACTTTCTACAAACTTTTCGCTTTCCATCTGTGTTCTCTAAGACAAAGCTTACAATTTTAATTACTGCAAAGCTCATTTTCTTAATGGTAACCATAATGCCCCAATCACTACCACACTTTCTGCAAAAGATTTTCCCATCCTTGTAAGTATCGTCGCCTATAGATTTTGGTTTTGGATGTTTTTCTTTACGAATTTTAGATTGGTAAAATTCCTTGTTAATGATAAGATGATTCGAGTTGCTAAATACTTTAACGTCAGATGATAAACACGCTAGCTCGGAACATTTTCCGCAAAGCAATCTGTAGACAGATGTCGTCCTACTGTCTTGTCTTTCTTTTTCAGATTTTTCTATTTCCATTCGTTGTTTGACATCAAACTTCTGTAATTCCAACAAATCTTTTTTTAATTGTTCCTTTGGTATTTTTGCCAGCATGCGAACACTCTTGAACATGTACATATCACGAATTCTGTTTGCGTAATCACGTTTATCAAAGTCAAACTCAGTTGAAGCGACAAAGTAGAATTTGCTGTTCTTTTGGCGAACCCTCCCTGAAAAAAATTAGAAAAGTAAAGTAAATTAGAAAATAAAAAATAAAATAAAAATTTATAGGGCCTAGTTATATGTCAGTATACTATGATTGACTTAATTGCACGGGATATACCTAATATGATTCATAACAACAACAATAAAAGTATTACTTAGGTGAACTTTATTGGATGTTATACCTTTGGCTTGCTTACGACCAACCTCGCTACTCATGTAATTGTAGCGAAAAACCAAGTTGCATGCTGATACATCTGTACCCTCTTCTACAACACTTGTTCCAACAAGTATGTTGCAAGTGTCACTCTTAAAATTGTGAAGAACCGCTTGTTGCTCAGAAGAAGTCATTTCTGCAAAACATCACTACATTTATGAAGTTCGACGAATACAGTAATACATTGATACCATTGTAATCTATAGCCTGACGTTATGTTACTTTTATATTGTTATATTTATTGACAGTTAGGCTATATTAATTCATTTTATAATATTTATTCTTGTTATATTTAATCTTTACTGATGTATGTTAAATTGTAGTATTAAGGTGTTAGAAAATTTAGAAAAGCACACCTCACCATGACTTTTTTTAAAACTAAGATTGCATATGATATTCTCGGTAGCGTCTTATATACAAAATCTTTTGTGATCAAAATGAATGAATGGATGAATAAATAAATAAATAATGCTATGGCAATTAAATTAAATACTATAATAAAGATAACATTGATGATAATCATAATAATAATTATTTAAACCATCAGAAATATTTATAGCCATTTGGCCTATATCAAAAATATTAATGGCAACCGAAAACAATTTTGTATACTTATTTAAATTTACTGTAGCTACAATAATCGTTAAAAGTGCTGAATATTTTTGTGTAACTCACCACCTGATCCAAAAATCATTTCTGGTCTAAGAAATGACAATTGTTGGTTGTCTCTTATCCAACTACACATAGCATCAACAGTGAAGCGTTTTGTGCAGAAAATAATGGCGTGTGAATCAGCTTTTAATTTAAATTCCTGAATCAGAATTTCTTCTAGTTTTGTCAATAGTGGATTCTCATATTCCTGGCGTTTACTCACATTTTCCAGCCACTTTTCTCTATCTAATAAAAACAATTGGGTCCGATTAGTAAGTGTATAAGGTATTTTTTTAATGATGCAATTAATCAAGTAAAGATTGTGTAAGAAGATACTTATGATACATAGTCAGTTATAATTTATACCGGGCAGCAGGCAAAACGTCAAGTAATGTAAGAACCACCTCCTGGCACAATACCTGATTATTATTAGATCATAAAAAACATACACTTAGCACTATAGTAACTGTTAGTAACGCACATCGAGATCGGAACGCCTCATTAACTAAAAGAATGCTATTTGCCGACCTCCAAAAAATTATGGATTACAATTTCGTCAACCCAATAAAAGACAACTATCAACATTCTTCTTCAAATAATGTTCAATTGCTGCAGAAAACCAACTCTTATATATAAAAGATGCCGGATGGAGGATACTTTGTTAAATATAAATAATTATAATTATTTGAATAATAATTAGGCCTACAAATATTATTTATTTGAAAATACACCTTTAAATCGATGGAATTCAATAAAGATATGTGCGTTCACAAGATAGTAACAAAAAAGAAAAAACTTAAAATTTAAAAAAATTATTAAAATTGAGAACACAGATCAATGGGCAATACCAATTTTTCGTTAATACAAGATATTATTTTTTTTATAAATAAATAGTTAAATTTAATAAAATAAATTTACATTTAAAAGTTATAAATGAATGATATGAATAATAGAATAATAGGTAAACTAATTAATTAAAGCTACTCAATACATTATAATGATTATTACTTTGGAAAAACTGTATAAGACTATCATCGTCATTGTTAAATTCGTTTGAGCGAGTGTTGATTTCCTTGTTGATGTGTTCTTGGATGAATCGAAGGGCGTCCTGAATTCTGCATATTTTGTTTATCTGCAGGGCGTCGTTATATTTCTGTAATGCAAACATTGTTATTTTTTAACATCTATTTACAATATCAAGTATCATGTGACTACTACTACTACTACTACTACTACCACTACCACTACCCTGTCTCTTATACACATCTAGATGTGTATAAGAGACAGAAATGAATGAATGGATGAATAAATAAATAAATAATGCTATGGCAATTAAATTAAATACTATAATAAAGATAACATTGATGATAATCATAATAATAATTATTTAAACCATCAGAAATATTTATAGCCATTTGGCCTATATCAAAAATATTAATGGCAACCGAAAACAATTTTGTATACTTATTTAAATTTACTGTAGCTACAATAATCGTTAAAAGTGCTGAATATTTTTGTGTAACTCACCACCTGATCCAAAAATCATTTCTGGTCTAAGAAATGACAATTGTTGGTTGTCTCTTATCCAACTACACATAGCATCAACAGTGAAGCGTTTTGTGCAGAAAATAATGGCGTGTGAATCAGCTTTTAATTTAAATTCCTGAATCAGAATTTCTTCTAGTTTTGTCAATAGTGGATTCTCATATTCCTGGCGTTTACTCACATTTTCCAGCCACTTTTCTCTATCTAATAAAAACAATTGGGTCCGATTAGTAAGTGTATAAGGTATTTTTTTAATGATGCAATTAATCAAGTAAAGATTGTGTAAGAAGATACTTATGATACATAGTCAGTTATAATTTATACCGGGCAGCAGGCAAAACGTCAAGTAATGTAAGAACCACCTCCTGGCACAATACCTGATTATTATTAGATCATAAAAAACATACACTTAGCACTATAGTAACTGTTAGTAACGCACATCGAGATCGGAACGCCTCATTAACTAAAAGAATGCTATTTGCCGACCCCAAAGAAGTTATGGATTACAATTTCTTCAACCCAATATAAAAGGCAATTATCAACATTCTTCTTCAAATAATGTTAAATTGCTGCAGAAAACCAACTCTAATATATAAAAGATGGCGGATGGAGGATACTTTGTTAAATATAAATATTTATAATTATTTTAATAATAATTACAAATATTATTTACTTGAAAATACACCTTTAAAACGACGGCATTTAATAAAGATTCGTGCGTTCACAATTATTTCTTCAAATAATGTTCAATTGCTGCAGAAAACCAACACTAATATATATAAAAGATGCCGGATTGAGGATACTTTGTTAAATATAAATATTTATAATTATTTTAATAATAATTACAAATATTATTTACTTGAAAATACACCTTTAAAACGACGGCATTTAATAAAGATTCGTGCGTTCACAATTATTTCTTCAAATAATGTTCAATTGCTGCAGAAAACCAACACTAATATATATAAAAGATGCCGGATTGAGGATACTTTGTTAAATATAAATATTTATAATTATTTTAATAATAATTACAAATATTATTTACTTGAAAATACACCTTTAAAACGACGGCATTTAATAAAGATTCGTGCGTTCACAATTATTTCTTCAAATAATGTTCAATTGCTGCAGAAAACCAACACTAATATATATAAAAGATGCCGGATTGAGGATACTTTGTTAAATATAAATATTTATAATTATTTTAATAATAATTACAAATATTATTTACTTGAAAATACACCTTTAAAACGACGGCATTTAATAAAGATTCGTGCGTTCACAATTATTTCTTCAAATAATGTTCAATTGCTGCAGAAAACCAACACTAATATATATAAAAGATGCCGGATTGAGGATACTTTGTTAAATATAAATATTTATAATTATTTTAATAATAATTACAAATATTATTTACTTGAAAATACACCTTTATGATACCATTGTAATCTATAGCTTCTGACGTTATGTTACTTTTATATTGTTATATTTATTGACAGTTATACTAATTTATTTTATAACATTTATTCTTGTTATATTTAATCTTTACTAATGTTAAATTGTATTATTATGGTGTTGGAAAATTTAGAAAAGCACACCTCACCATGACATATTTTAAAAACTCAGATTGCATATGATATTCTCGGTAGCGTCTTAACTTTAAAATCTTTTGTGATCAAAATAAATGAATAAACAAATAATACTATGGCGATTAAACCAAATACTATAATAAAGATAACATTGATGATAATCATAATAATAATTATTTAAACCACCAGAAATATTTATAGATTAGATCTAGGCCTATATCAAAAATATGGATGGCAACCGAAAACAATTTTCAAATACTTTTAAATTTAAATTACTGTATCTACAATAATCGTTAAAAGTGCTGAATATGTTTGTGTAACTCACCACTTGATCCAAAAATCATGTCTGGTCTAAGAAATGACAATTGTTTGTTGTCTCTTATCCAACTACACATAGCATCAACAGTGAAGCGTTTTGTGCAGAAAATAATGGCGTGTGAATCAGCTTTTAATTCAAATTCCTGAATCAGAATTTCTTCCAGTTTTTTCAAAAGTGGATTTTCATATTCTTGGCGTTTACTCAGATTTTCCAGCCATTTTTCTCTATCTAATAAAAACACATTGGGTCCGATTAGTAAGTGTATAAAGTTTTTTTTAATGATCCAATTAATCAAGTACAGATTGTGTAAGAAGATACTTATGATACATTTACAAGTATAACTTATACCGGGCAGCAGGCAAAACGTCAAGTAATGTAAGAACCACCTCCTTGCACAATACCTGATTATTATTAGATCATAAAAAACATACAGTTAGCACTATAGTAACTGTTAGTAACGCACATCGAGATCGGAACGCCTCATTAACTAAAAGAATGCTATTTGCCGACCCCAAAGAAGTTATGGATTACAATTTCTTCAACCCAATATAAAAGGCAATTATCAACATTCTTCTTCAAATAATGTTAAATTGCTGCAGAAAACCAACTCTAATATATAAAAGATGGCGGATGGAGGATACTTTGTTAAATATAAATATTTATAATTATTTTAATAATAATTACAAATATTATTTACTTGAAAATACACCTTTAAAACGACGGCATTTAATAAAGATTCGTGCGTTCACAATTATTTCTTCAAATAATGTTCAATTGCTGCAGAAAACCAACACTAATATATATAAAAGATGCCGGATTGAGGATACTTTGTTAAATATAAATAATTATAATTATTTTAATAATAATTAAAAATTTATCTATTTGAAAATACACCTTTAAATCGACGGCATTCAATAAAGATTTGTGCGTTCACAAAATAGCAACATAAAAAAGAAAAACATAAAATTTAAAAAAATGATTAAAATTGAGAACACATATCAATGGGAAATAATAATTTTTCGTTAATACAAGATATTTTTTTTATATAAATAAATAGTTAAATTTAATAAAATAGATTTACATTTAAAAGTTATAAATGAATGATATCAATAATAGAATAATAGGTAAACTAATTAATTAATGCTACTCAATACATTATAATGATTATTTTACTTCGGAAAAACTGTATAAGACTCTCATCGTCATTGTTAAATTTTTCTGAACGAGAGTTGATCTCCTTGTTGATGTGTTCTTGGATGAATCGAAGGGCGTCCTGAATTCTGCATATTTTGTTTATCTGAAGGGCGTCGTTATATTTCTGTAAAGCAAACATTGTTATTTTTCAACATCCATTCACAATATCAAGTATCATGTGACTACTACTACTACTACTCGTAGTAGTAGTAGTAGTAGTAGTACTACTACTACTACTACTACTACTACTAATAATAATAATAATAATAATAATAATAACAATAACAATAACAATAACAATAACAATAACAATAACAATAACAATAATAATAATAATAATAATAATAATAATAATAATAATAATAATAATAATAATAAA